TCCCCCCCCCCCCCCCCCCCCCCCCCCCCACTTCCCCTCCCGTCCTGAGGTGTTTTCGGAAAATGAATTCTAGTCAAAAGAAAGATATTAGGTGACAAGTACCAGATCTGTTTAACTTCACTCTATGCGTGACGGGATTATTTTTTAAGATTTATTTTAGCAGTTTTAGGTTTCACATGACCTAAATGTTGCCAAGGATTGCCTGAAAATGTCCCCTGATTTTTGCATGTCTGCTACTGGTTGAATCAAGCGTGTGTTTCTGAACACGTCTGTGACTGTAAAGGGGGAGGGGGGGAACAAGAAAGAAACCTGTGTTTTCCGTGTTTCTTTGTTTTCAAACACACCACTGAAACATCGTCCTGTTACCAATCAACGCGTAAGAAAAAACTGGAAAAGTTGCCATATGTCTATAAGATAATCACAACAGGACACTATTTTTTCTCACCAGGTTCACACTTTCTGCTTCCACAAAATTGTTAAAAATTCACTTTTTTCTTTTCCTTTGCCTTGGCAATACAACCTCCCTCAACAACAGCCGAAGTAACAATGAAGTGTAGCTCGTAGTCAGCGAACAGCTTGGACAGCACCAGTGATGCTGCGATGCGCTGGAGGGGCGGCGGCGCCGTCCACTGCACGGCAAACGCTCAAAACTATGTGTTTCAAAACACCTCTATGACGCATAGGGTTATACTAATCTGATCTCACAATTGTCCTCCATGGGAATTCGATTGACGGAGATAATCTTGTTCCCATTGACGCCTATTATGAAATCAGATCATTTTAAATTTAAACAGATCTGGTGCATGTCACCCATTGGCTTGTAGATCACGAAAAGTGTCCTTTTTGTTTTTGTTTTTTTTTTTTGCGATGCATCAGTTCGCTATTTAAAAAAATTGAAATAAGCTATCGTACTTTTAGGCTTAGCGTGCAGGCTCCAGTCCCGTCTCCAAGTGTTGCCGGATATCGTGCTGGAATTAGGTTGGATTCATGACTGCTTCGGCCTTCGTTTCGGTGTCTGGATCATCCTTTTTGTAAAGTATGAGACAACTTTGCGCGAAGTTCATAAGATGAGTTGTAATTGAAGCGGTGGGTAGTAGTGGCCGATTGA